CCACGAGGGGGGGAGGGCACCCGACACTGGGGGGAAGGGGGGTCGACCTCCACCTGTGCCCACCCGTAACCCCCTACTACTACCCAGGTTGATATCCTCGGGAAGGATACTGCTTGTTTTTCCCCCTTTCCCAACTCATCGTATACCTTTTCTTGACTTGCGTCCCACCTCCTCGTGTGTACTGTACCCTTTCCTGCCTGACGGCACGAAAGGTTGGAGGAGAGCGACCGGAGGTGGACCCTAGCTGGCCGAAGGAGTTTAGGACCCTGCTCAACGATTGCTGGAGCGGTGACCCTTCCCTACGGCCCGATATTGCCGAGGTGGAAACAACAAAGAAAAATGTCTTCGGTACTTTTTTTTTGCGTGTCATGTCACCAGTTTGTTGTGATGCAGGGAGGGGAGGGGGGGGGTACCATATGGGGGCATCATGTTTGGCTCTACCGTAGAGCGACTGTAGCGTCGTGTGCCCGGTTGGAAAGGGGAAGCGTGGTAGCTTTCTGTGCGGATGCAAGTTGTTGAACGCGCGGAGCTGATTGCCTAGCTATCTTAGGGTGGAGGCAGGACCGGTCAGACTGCGGAGATTAGTACCTCTGGCTAGTGGACCCGGTACCTGTCGACACCGAGCACCACACCAACCCACACTTCCGGTCTTGCGTTTTGCTTGTTATGATTGTAAGAAGGTGGTATTTTCCTTCTGTCTCGCTGGCTGTCCGTCTGTCTGTTCTGTTAATTCATCTGTCTCTCCTGCGCGCTTTCTCGTCTCTCCATCTATGCTTTGATCCTCTTTGTCTGATTTCTTCGCAGTAGCCTCACTTGCTTTCCCACCTTCGACCCTCTCTCTCGTTCTGTGCCCTCCCCTCCCTCAACGCGCTGCTCGATTGATTTTTCCATCTGACGGCCGCGCCTGCCTGCGTTTGTTTCCCTTCCGATCCCCACAACTGTAACGTCGCTTTCTTCGCATCACCATCACCATCACCATCACCATCGTCAGGTTGTTGTCCGCATGAAGGCCATCCTTCACGTTTCCCCGTGACATGGCGATCCAGCAGCACGTCGGCGAACGAGCGGAGTAGCTTTTGCTGCCGTGCATACCGCGATGGCGAGACGCTGTCCGTATTTTGATAATAGAACGCGCTGCTGAAACCCCCGCATGATCTCCTGTCTAAGCCCTCCCTAGCACCAACGGTCGCTCCACCAGATTTGGCTGATCACGGACAATCGATATAGTGGTGCGTCAAGCCCCCCTCGCTTGTATCAACGAGAGTCAAGAAAAGGTGGTTTTTGAAGTTCCCCAGAGGCGGGCTTGGGCCGTGTGTTGCGACATGTAGGTATACCTTTTTTTGACCTGTGTCTAGATTGTGGTTGGCGTTGCAAAGGGAGGTCCTGACAAACACACGCGGGTGGGTATGGGTTCTGCCTTTCCTTTATTCAGCGCCCCCCCCCTGTACGCAAGGAAGTAAGCACAAGATGCCGAACACCCTTAGCAGGATGCAGCGCACCCTTCATGCGACTCGCCGAATACCTCACGGCGCTTCGCGGTTGGTGACGTGAGAGCCTGGTCCGGTGAGAACCCGGCGTGCTCCGTCCCGGCTTTGTAGGGATGCGAGGTCAATGGTCTCACGACTGCGGCATGCACGACTATGAGTACCCCCCCTCCCCCCTCCCCCTATGAAGAAAAGTAGTACCTTCCATCAACAGGCGGGCGGCTATGTCTTCCGAGGGAGGTGCACAGCTAGCTGCCACAGCAAGCACGGTAGACGTTTATTTTTGTAAGAGGATGGCGGGTGCGGTTGTACGGAGCATTGGCTTCCCACGTCTGCACTCTTGGGGAAGAAACTATCTTCCCTTGTGTGCGATATCGTTTTGTCTTCCTCCGTTGAGTGGCTTCCTGGCGAGCGCTTAGTTGGTGCCTGCCTCCACATGGATGATGTAGTGCGTGCCGCGGATGGAAAGGGATCCTTGCTGCCGCCGCTGTTGTTGTGATTGGCTCCTCCGTTGCTTGCGACGGAGGGATTCTTGTATTCGCGACTACAAGGGGATCTTCGGTTACGCTGTTATTCGTGGGGGAACGCATGTGCTACGTTTTCGGTTTCTTGGTACTGGTGGGGCGGGGAAATGTAAATATTTCAATGTTGTGAGCTGGTTTTGTCCTCTGTAGGGCGTAAGAAGTGCGCGCTTTTTTTTTTTGGTCAAAGAACCGGGGATAGATGTATAGACAGGGTACTCACCACGCTGAGTTTCGGTGATGACCTTGCTTTATGTGTAGAGCTTTCGCTACGATAGCCCACAACGCAAGTGTACAGCCTCCTGATTGGGATACGATCCGTTGAGCCTCCTCCCGCGGTCGATTCCGTTGGCGGGATCGACGGTATGGAGGAGGCGTGTTTTGTAACCTTCAATGGCTGACGTCCTTTTTATCATCGTTGGCACGATCGATGGTATGAAGGCGTATTTCGTAGCCGATGGTATGAAGGGGCGTTTCGTAGCCGATGGTATGGAGGCGTGTTTCGTAGCCGATTGTATGGAGGCGTGTGTTGTACCGGTGGATGGCGACGTCCGGTTATCATCCTTGGGGGATGAATGGTAATGAATGGTATGGAGGATTGTTTCGTGACCGTCGGTGGCTGACGTCCTTTTTCACCACCCAGCAGGTTGGCGCGGCTATGTAAATAAACATCATTATTCTAGCCGTACAGATTGTTGGAATGACGAGGATGTAGACTATGGCATGCAGATAGACATTCATGCAAGGACAAGGTGTTATGTTTTTCATCACCTTACGTGCCGGACTTTATGTTTTTGACCTTCCCGCCTTGGGACGGGGGAACTTGTTCGGCAACCTCGCACTAATTTTTGGAGTCCAGTTGCTTTGCGTTTTTTTGGTCCAGCACGAGGCTGCGGTGTGCGATCTTTTGCTAGACAGCGTTGGAGTGGGTAAGCGAGGGTCGGTGCATTATTTGTTTGTTTATCATTTATCACTTAAAAAATCAGCGCTCAACACAGAAGGAGATAGAGAGAGCAATTCTGCCGGGTAGGAGGTGTCTCCAATCAGTGGTCACTAGGCCTTTCCCCATTATGCTCGAGCGTCAAAAAGCATAACAGCACATCGAATTTTTTGGGCAGAAGTCGAGCGTATTTGACCGAATTGAGCATAATTGGCCGAAAAACGAGCATAAATGGCAGTTTTGGGCATTTTTCAAAAAGGAGCATATTATGTAAAAAAAATAAGCATAATGGGGAAAGGCCTAGTGGCCACAGAAGGGTTCCTCTCCCTGCGGCCCCTACCCACCCCTCCTCCAGTGCTTGGCTTCAGATGTGCAGATGCTGACATAAAAACACACACACACGCAGAACCTTGTGATTAGAAAGCGTGTTCGTTCACGTTTTTATCCCGCTACAAGACTGGCCACGTCTTTTCATTGGCCAGCCGGTTAGAACGGTCCATCCAAACAAAAAAACAAAAAAGTACACACACGGCAGGTTCGCCCCGGTGCCCTGCACGCAAGGCATGCATACCCTTGGAAACCTTTAGATGATCCATCAAGATCGTGGGTTAAAAAATGCAAAAGCGACGGCTGTGTCTCGAAATTCGCTCATTCACGAGTACACAAAACTCCAAGACTAAATAAAATAATATTAATCGTTGACGAGAGACAGGACTAGTGAAAAAAACAATCGCAAAAAAAAATCCGTGGGACACCTTGCGGCCTGCCCACGGGAAGGGGAGGCATATATTCTTCACGGCCCCGGATGGAAACGTCTCGGGTACAGAATGCGGGACCCTCCATCTACGTAGAACGTCACATTGCGCGCTGTTTAGCAAGGATACACGGCGTGGTATGTATCTTAAAAAAAGAAACCCCAACGTGGGGGGGCACATCGAGTCCTATTTACCATCATTGCTTTCGACGAGAACATATTGCGGCGGCTTTGTTGCGCCGCGACGAACGACTAGAAACACCACAACAACGGCAGCGACCTCTTTGACTAGCTTCATCATTCTGTTCTACGAGCGGTGTCGCCTTATCTCCACACCCCTCGAGCAAGCTGCAGGAAAAATGACCTCGTCAACGGCACCTGTCTGGCAAAAAACTTGAAAGAAGGCTTCGCAACAAGTAAATCGTAAAACGAATTCTAAACGTATCTCCCTAGGTGTGCATTGTGTACCCATGACGGCACCGAAAGCAAGCGCTTGTGGCCGCAATTGTGGCTCTCCGAATTCGGCCGGCTCTCACTGCCCCGTGGCATGCGCAATCACGGTGGCTCGCAGCTCCAAAGGTGGCCGCTCGATGTCCTCCTTGCTTTGCACCAGAAGGAGCTCACCAGACCCTGCGCGACACGTGGATTCAAGGTATAGACGCCATGCGACAGGCACGCTTGAGAGCGTGCGGACACCTCCACAACCCGGCACCCTGTACGGCCCCAACGCAACCAAAAACGGTACTGCCGAGTCCCTTGCCAACAGCAGTGTTCGGAAGACGTCTGCAATGAAGGCAGGAATAGAAGACTGTCTGGTTTGGAGCATACACACACAAGTGGCTTCAAATCCGAAGAAATAGCCTCGCCATCGTAGCACAAGGACGTTTTTTTCCGACCACCGCCATTCTTCTGACACTCCCTGCGCCATTTGACGACGCGCGCAACGGGGTGCTTCGCGGAATCGACGCGACAGAGCAGTAGCGCAGCAGGAGTTTAAGATTGTTTTTTATGTACCTTGGGCGTGGGTTCTCCTCAAGACGGCCCTCATTGTCCCCGCCACTCGCTCGAGCGCTCCCGCCAGATCCCCCGGCAGCCTTCAACGGCAGCCGAAACGACACACGAACACACACACACAGGTGTGAGAATGACAAGACAGCAGTAGTGATGGTTGGCCAGAAGTGGTTAGCCGGTTGAGTCTTTGCAGCCGAGTACTGTACGGCTGCATACCACCGCCGTTTCTACGCTCCGTACAGCCGTCGCCGCTTTAAAATAAAAAAACAAGGACACTCATTTAGCCTTGGAAGCGTATGTAGGGTATCACAACCCCCCGTACTGTCTGTGGATGGATGAAATCATGGGGCACCATGGTTCTGAAAAAACAACTGTCTATTTGTAGAGCGTGGGGAAAGTGGCGTAACTCGAGCGTCTTTAGAGGGGAAACGACTGCACCTGGAGGAGAAGAGCGACGGGCAGACGTGCGAATGTGGTGCGTGCGCCTGAACCGAGGCAAAACACCCAAGGATGGCAGCAAGACGTGCTGTAAGCTACGTGCGCACGTGCCCCCTCTAGTACTGCCGCAAAAAAAAGCGAGCGTGCTATTACCTACGGGTCCACGCCAATAGGAGCGCCGCGGCAAGGTCTCCCGTTCCCGTGAACTCCTGCGGAAGGCGCGGAAACGTCATCCGGTACACGTCGAACCCGCCACCGCCATCGCCACCCGTTTCTCTCACCCCTGCCCCTGCCCCCGCCCCCGCCTCCCCCGCTCCCGCCCCAGCTTCTGCCCCATCCACGTGCCCTCCTCCACCAGCACCGCCGTCCCCCCCACCCCCCCCACCCGCTCCGTCTCCCCCACCCCCGCCACTCGCCGCTCTGTTACCAACACCCCCGCCCGCCGCCTCCGCGCCTCCGCCGCCATCACCCCCTAGACCACCGCCGCCACCGCCGCCACCACCGCCGCCTGCGTCTCCGCCGTTGTTGCCAGCGACCGCTGCAGCTTGTCCACGACTATTTCGCGGAGCTCCACCGCCCCCGCCGCTGTCGCCCCCGGATGCTGCTGGGCCTTGCCCGCCGCCGCCGCCGCCGCCGACCTCATCGTGCCCCGTTATTTCCGCTGATGGTGGTGGCGGCGGCGGGGGCGGCGGGGGTATTGCCGAGGAGTTCGACGAAGACGACGGGAATGACGGCGTTTCTGATGGCGAGCGGCGGGGCCGACGCCGGGTGCTGGCCACGAGAACGATATCGTCCCCACTTCCTCCTCCTCCTCCTCCTCCCCCCGCACCCCCGCCACCAACGGCGGGGACCCCTCCTCCGCTCGACGAGGAGCCTGCCAGTCGGCTGCTGGTGATCACCACTGTGTCCGGTCCCCTGCCGAGAAGACGGGCGAGAATCTCACGTCAGACACAGCAGACGTCCTTGCATTTTAAGGACACCACGCACAAGGGGCATTGCCTGCTTCAGGGAGGGTACCCGTCACTTGTCATGATTTTCAGAAGGGAAATGGACAACAGTGGGTCGTCCATTCTCGGACAAAAGTGGGTAGTCAAAAACTTGCTTTGCGGAGACCACTCGTGACAGGGCCGAACCACTCAAAACTTCGTTCCGATGCCTAGACAACATGGGCAGGGCCCATACCAATGCATGAACATCAACTTTTGCGGACTTTCGGGCACGTCTTCACCCGACACACCTCCGCGGCGCACAAGGTTTCAATAGGTTGCCCGATTTTGTCCGAAATTTCGCTGGGTGTATACCCACCGAAATCTACAATATTTTTCAAGCACCCACTTTCGCCTGTTTTGTTACCCACCAATGTCCGAAACGTACCCATTTTTGTCCGTTCCTTTGATTCGAAAAGAGAGGAACGGTAGCCCCCGAGGTGGCACAAGACCCAGAAAGGGAGAGACTGACAGACACACTGAGACGAGGGAATGGGGGAAAAGAGGGGGGGGGGGGGGCAGACAGAAAGAGGAGGAAAAAAAAAAAAAAGACAGACAAAAAAAGAAAAAAAGACAGACAGACAGACAGACAGACATAAAAGGGCGGGGAGGGGGGGGACCCAAATACATCCACTCTTCCAAACCGAGGCGTACAAAAAGGACTGTCCCACTTTTCTCCCTGGCAAAAAGACCGCCAAGCTCCCGCCCCCCCCCACCTGGCGTGAAGAGCCGTGCAAGCTCGGACCGCGTCCTCCTCCGTCAAGATTGTCACCCCAGACAGCAGCTCGGCCTCGAACTGGTTCGGCGTGATCATGGTGGCGAGGGGGAGCACCTCTTCCCGGTAGATGTCCACGTTCTCCGCCGGCACGTACAGCCTACCGTCGTCCCCGAGCACCTAGAGGGAGGCAAGGGGGGGGGGGGGGGGGTACCCCTACTCCTAATCCTGAATGCCGTAATCCTTAAAACATTTACCTCCCATCCCTAC